TTGAGAAGTCTTAATTTCTTCCAAAAGGTTTAAAGGACTTTTTTACTTGAACCACCTCGTTTCCTTCTGTACTCCACCCAAACTGCCCCTGCTGAGCTTACATTCTGCATTTGAGGGACAAATCCACACAGAATGTAAACTCAGTGTGTAAAGAGCATGCAAATTACACATTCTCCATCTCCTAGCCTGGTAGTAGCCAACCTTTGTCGCAAGTCCAAAGTATGTGATAGTGGTGCCTGCGGATGCCTGGGCCACTGGTTTTTAACCATCTCTTAGCTTACTACTGCCACTAAATATATCTTTTAGTTGTAAAGGCAGCAACAAGCTTGAAAACCAGCTTGTCCTAAAGCAGGTAAAAAGGTAAAAGGTAAAGGACCCCTGGACGGTTAAGTCCAGTCAAAGGTGACTATGGGGTTGCGGCGCTCATCTCGCTTTCAGGCCGAGGGAGCCGGCGTTTGTCCACAGACAGCTTTCCGGGTCATGTGGCCAGCAGGCCTAAACCGCTACTGAAGCATGGAGGACCGTAACGAGTGCCAGAGCACATGGAAACGCTGTTTACCTTCCCGCCAGAGCAGTACCTACTTATCTACTTGCACTGGCATGCTTTCAAACTGCTGGGTTGGCAGGAGCTAGGACCAAGCAACGGGAGCTCACCCGTCTCGGGGATTCGAACCGCCGACCTTCCGATCAGCAAGCCCAAGAGCCTCAGTGGTTTAGACCACAGCGCCACCCGCGTCCCTTCCCTTAAGCAGACAGAGGAACTGCAGCACCCCAGCTGTTGTTGTGCTACAACTTCCATCATCCCTGATGACTGACCACGCTGGCTGGGCTGATGGCAGTTAGGGGTCCCAAAACATCAGAGATTCACAGGTTTCACACCCCTACCTTAGGGCACAAGCCTCTCTTGCTCCAATAATCAGCTTCATTATCATTCCAACTCATAACCTCCCACAAAGCCAGTGAGCAGAGTTCAGCAACCTAGTCCTAGGAAGCTTTTCCACACTGAATTCTGGCATGCCATTTTTTTCCGCCCTGCCCTTCCACTGTGCCTGCCAGGGGCCAGGTACATTTTGCCACAGGGAACTGGCCTTTTGTGAGGAGGTGGAAGTGTCCGAGCACCAGGTTTGGCACCGAACATCTCCATCTGGCTGGCTGGTGTGGCTGCAAATGGTCTGCGGGGCAGCAGGGCACGAAAAGGCATGCCTCTTTTGGTGCTGCGATGCCCCATGAACCAGCCGATTCGCGCAGAAGCAGAGCACCTAAAGGAACACATGAGCCAGGTGATTCAAGCTCTCTTCTACCTGGTTAAAGAACAGTATTAGTTCGTGCTTATGAAAGTGTTGCTTAATTAAAAAAAAAAAAGTGACTAGGCATTCTGTTTTGGTGCCCACAGCCCAGGTTCCAGGAGCCATGTGGTAAATAGCTTTTTTATCCCAGTTTCTAACACTGGTCCCCCCTAAAGTATATTTCAAGCCAGAGTATTCTCTACAGCAGGCCCTAAGTTTTGGAATTTCCTCTCCACATGTAGCTTGTGTCATATGCTGAAGACCCACCTCTTTGCACTGGCTTTTGACATTCTGAGAGGTATATTCTGGGGCCACCTTATTCTCTTGATTATTTGTTTAAAATGATTTCTTTGTACAGTGGTACCTCGGGTTACATACGCTTCAGGTTACAGACTCCGCTAACCCAGAAATATTACTTTGGGTTAAGAACTGTGCTTCAGGATGAGAACAGAAATCGTGCTCTGGTGGCACCAGGAGGCCCCGTTAGCTAAAGTGGTGCTTCAGGTTAAGAACAGTTTCAGATTAAGAACGGACCTCCGGAACGAATTAAGTACTTAACCTGAGGTACCACTGTATTTTAAATAGTAGTAACCTGAGACAATGTGGTGAAGGGCGGGTAATTTTTTTAAAATTTTTTTTTTTAATGCTGTGCCTGGGCCACAGCCCTTCAAAGTGAAAATGTTAAAACTTAAGGACATTCTGTTCTAAACTGTTTTGGGCCGTGTTGGGAGTTTCTGATGGCTGAATTGTATTACTGATGTGTGCTATGTTACTGGGGGAGGAATGAGTTATATTTTATCTACATTACAGCAGCTCTTTTTTCTACAGTGGCTGCTACTTTCTATTTTATCATTTTGTACTTACGCTGCTTTGTATTTTCACTACCAAGCTGCCTCGACTGCTAGCTTGCAGAAAAGGTAGCGTATAAGCCTTCCAAGCACCCCAGAACTGTCCACACTAATCTTACTCTGGGATGTTCAAACCGCCCTTGGATCTACAGTAGTCGAGTCTGATTAAGCGTCCAATTATCCACACAGAAGCCCTTCAGATGGTCACCCCAGCAGTAAACCAGCGACAACAGAATAGCAGTCCAAAGCCAGCCTGTGGTGGTAGGTTCTGTACAAAAGATGCAGCTAAATTATGACCAAAGGCAGACTTCAGTATTTGCTTCAGTTAACTGTCTAAAATTCAATAATAATAAAGTTAAGCACAACAGGAGTGAATGAAATGAACGAACGAACGTATTGCACTCATCCCCTTATTGTGTATACTTCTTTCGGGTTATTAAATAGCGTGTTTTTTCAGGTACTGCAATGGGAAACATGAAGTGTGGCAGATTTATGACATTGAGGAGGAATAAGTTCTTAGGGAAGAATGGTGAAGGAGCTATACTGAACTGGGCCACTTCAAATTCAACAGATCTTCCCAAGCCCCCTAACTTTTAAGCCTTAAGATATGGCCCAACTGCATTTTGGATTTTAGCCCCACAATGAAGTGTTCATTACTCTTATACCAAACCACTTAATCATAAAGAGTATTAATTTATTTCCTTTACATACATAATTAACAGCCCAATGGCCATTCTCAACCTGTAGTCCAGATGCTGCTGGACTATTCCCATCTTCCCCGATCTCTGGTTGTGCTAGCTAGGGATGATGGGAGTTGTAGTCCAACATCTGGAGACACAGGGGTGAGAAAGGCTGGGCTTGTATTCAAGGGAAATAATTCTTTTAGCTCGTTACAGCGAAAACCTAAACCTACAGTACTAGAACGGCTCAAGCCAGAAATGTATTACTCTTTAATGGACCAGATTCATCACTGTTAATGTGAATGTACCCCTTCATTCATTTAATAAAAAAATTATAAACCGCCTGTTAGTAAAAACAACTTCAAAGCAGTTTACAAAGAGAATTGCTGTTTTGAACCCTCTACCAAGGTAATTAAAAGTACGGTAGATTCCCCCTCACGCTGTTTCAAACCATCCGTGTGGAGCAGATATGCAAATTCCTTCTGAGAATTACAAGTAGAATACAATAACTTACTGTGGATTAATAAACCTGGAGTATAAGAGGCAGGAGAGATAAGCTGTGATTTTGAAGCTTTTGCAGGTTCCTAGACCTCTTTGTTGAACAGGTTTCTTTGGTGATGTTTTCCATTTACAGATAGCCTAGTAGTTTATAAAAACAAATGCAGTAAAGGTCCTTGCCTAATTTGGCTTACATACTTGAGGTTTGTTGCATCTTCAGCTAACGGATTATTTTCCATAACCAAACTGAATGAACAAACTTATTCTGATTCACTGTGGAACCGGTCAAGTTTAACGGTTTCAGCTATAGCACAGCAAAAGGAAGTGTTTCTTCTCTACATACAAATGAGTTGAGCCAACACAGCTGATCTTGTCACTTTCTAAAATGCTGCAGATCATCACATAAGGGAACAGTTACCTCCTACCTCATCCATCTAGTTTAAAACTCCCTTCTCTGCAGTAATCACATTAAGAAAGAAAAAACTGCACAAGACAGGACAACGGATTGCCAGCTTCCAGTTAAGAGAGAAAGCCAACTAGCCATTTCTCTAATTTTCCAAATTACTACTTTACGCCTACAGTTTCAAACAGCTGCGCTCCTAGAACGCTACCTGCTCACATTAATTAAACGGGGGAAATTAACGCGCTCTCTCCCATTTCAAGAAGAAGAAAAAAAGCCCAGAAAGCTGTCTGTCGCTTTACTGTGGATAAGCTGTCAACGTCTGCCCTATTTAAGGTACCCTATTTGGAGGAAGCCATCTTCTACAGCAAGCAGAAAACATCCTGCAGCCATGATGGTTTTGTTTTCAAATTGCTCCATGCTCCCTCCCTCCTTCCCAGCTGGTTCCAGGAATGCCACCATCATAGCATATTTAAAACATCTTGTGGCACTTTGAGGGGCAGAAAGGAGGCTATTGTTGAAGATACAAGTTCAGACGAGCTATTTAAATGCAAGCGCAACCGAATAATGCCTTCATAAAGCACATTCTTTTGCACCTTTAAGCCCTTTGCTAAAGAAGAGAGATCCAATATTTGCTCTCACATAATGTTGGGCCCTGTATAGCTACGTAATATATAAACACAGGAAACAATGCAAGAGGCCAGCCACACTGTGAAATAACTTTTGGATTACATCTCCACACATCTTTAGAAGACATGTCATATTTTTGGACGTACCTAACAATGTAGTGCTGACAAAAGGAGCCACTAAGAGTGGAAAGCTATTGCGTTGCAGAATCCCCAAAATAAAAGGCCAACTTGTTCTGCTAAACTGTTAGGAATCTTGGATTTAAAAACAAAACAGTAATGTAAAACAGTCTGCAAGAATGGGAGCTTGTGAAACCAGTGAGATTCTGAAAAATAATTCCCACCCAATACTTGGAACACTATTTACTATTGTTAAGTAGCTACCTGTTAATGACATTCTTACAAGTATGAGTAGGAAAAAACCATAATGTTATTATTTATTAAACTTATATACTGCCCATCATAAAAAGACCACCTGACAAAAAACATGACTACGATTTGAATTAGTAAAATAGAAGCTGAATTCAAATTTGTTTCACACGACGCTAATTTCAGAAGTTGTAGAAAACATACTTTAGCACGGGTATCGAAAGATGGTGATACAATAAGTAGTGTTTTGCAAAAACAAAGGTTTACCCTATTGCCCTTGTCCAAAATTTTACCTTTCTACCTCTTCAGACCCATCCATATTCTGTGGAAAGATACACCAGTTGTCTGTCCCTTTCCACCTCAGAGGTGACTGCATTTCAGGGATGCTGGACGTATTAGGTTTATGATGTCCACTGGGATCCTTCGACATGAAAGCTGTGCTATAAAAATAAAATAGTATTCAAGACAAACGGTTGTGGGTTAGAGGTACATCCGAGAGAAGGGAAGCAAGGCGGGTCTGAGCTACTTCGCCACCTTCTCCGAAAGAAATTAAGAACAGAAAGCAGGTCAAACCTGCTAATGGTTACATATGTGCATTTAGTGAAATTCAGTGGCAAAAGAAAAACAAAACAAAGGGAAGTTTATTAATGGGAAGTTGATTGGCATTTTGATAACTGAATAATTTGGGGGGTTGTTATTGTTATAATTTGGCTACTGGAAAACTAATAATAAAAATTTGTGTGTGTGTTATCTTCCTTCCATATATGAAGCATGGGCATGGCTCACTCCAGGACAAAATCTCTCCTGCCCTACAAATGCCCATATATCTTATGTAGCGACATTATTTAACACATAAAGGTCTAAGGCTGTAAGAAATGCCCCTTAGCGAACTCAAGATGCATTTCCGAAAAGGATAGCTAAAATAACTGTTATGACTGGATTCCCCGCACCTCCTCATTGTTTCCAGCACACGTTAATGAGTAAAGTGGGTCACGGGGTGGAAGCTCAATGTTTGATCGAACTCAACACATAATCTTCCCCTACTTGCCCTTCCCCACCAGCTACTGCCATCTCTGTGTTAAGTTTTACACTCCTCAAGACAGGGAGATCTCTTTCCATTGCTATTTTGCAGAGTGTTGTACACATTGCTTTAAAAAAAGGTGTGGGTGTTGGCTACAGGCAGGAGGGCCTGCTTAGTGGTGGCACCAAGACTTGTTCTTCTGCTTTAAATGTTTAGGTGGCCAATAGCTTCATTTCAGGGGGCATTTAGGGTTTAACTTGACCAAACTTGACCAAACTAAGACTTGGTCATTTACACGACTGGTGTCCAATTTTGTCACCTAATGTTTATTCCTTATATAGGAGTTTTATTTTTATTTTTTGTCTGGACCCATTTTGGGATAAGAGGTGCAAAAATAAAGAACGGTTATCACCGCACACCCCAAGTATGTTTACTCAGAAAGAGCCCCCGTTTGTGTTCAATGGGATTCACACCCTGGGAAATTTAGGATTTCAGCCTTTATAGTACATTTAATGGCCCTTTTCTTCTCATCTTCAGATGTCCCACAATGAAGTCCAAAGAGCGGCCAAGGAAACCGTCCTCCCAGCCTTGTTCATAAACATTATTATTTCAGAAACTTTGGGGGGGGGGCAAGCCTGTCTCAGAAACATGCCTCTTTGAGGCTGCTTTGAGGCTCTTTGAAACAATCAAGAGGCATATACATTTTATGAAATAATTAATAACAACGAAAGCAGCAAATGGTGGCGCCTGAGCCCAGTCGCCTAAAGGCGATTTTTACTCGCCCCAAGCAACCAGCCAATTTGAACTTGTGGGTTTTATCTGTCTGTAGCCCCAACACAATGCAAAGTGAAGAATTAAAACGGGGGAACCTGCCTCGGCCCCTTTGAATTAGGGAACAGTTAAATTAAATTAAATGAATTAAAACGGGGGAAATGCGGCCTACCCCGCCCCTGAACCTTTCAAGAAGGCATGTGCACCCTTAACAATTATTGCATTTTAATATTTTGCTGGAAGCCGTCCAGAATGGCTGGGGAAAGGCAGCCAGATGGGCAGGGTATAAATAAATAAATTATTATTATTATTATTATTATTATTCCTGAAGAGACCCACATGGCCGCTCCAAAGCCCCACAAGGAAAGTGGGTCTTTTCAGAGCAACATTGTCCCTTCCAGGCAATGAATTTCCTGCAAAGGAGGAAGTTTTAGGTTGAATTAAGTCTGGATGATTTGCTCAACTGGCGTCTGGTTTTGCCTTTATGGCGGGGCTTACTTTTTTTTTTAATGCCTGCTTCTCGGTGGCCCCATTTTGGGTGCAGAAAAGCAAACACCAGTTGTTAGGGGTCTTGCATGTCCCTGAATTAATTTTACAATGAAATGATTTTAGAATGTTGTATTATTTGATTGTTCTTAGCCGCCCGGAGCCCGGCTTTGGCTGGGGAGGGCGGGGTGCAAATAAAATTTATTATTTATTATTATTATTATTCCCCACGTGTTGCATTGCAAGGGCAGTTTTTCCTCCCCGTTGCAGCCCACCCACCCAAAATAACTGGCATGGCACCCATAACCTCTCAAGCCGGACAAGGTGCCCGAGGAAGGGGACGGAAAATGGCACTTTTGCAAGGCCCCCTTGCCCCCTATTCCTGAAAATATTCATCCTCAATACTTTTCTCCTGAAAGAAAAGAACCAAGCATCTTCCCTCACCCCCATTTCCCTCTTCCAGCCCCTCCACACATGGGATTAAGAGAGCGCAAATGCCGGCCCTTTTTATTTTTTATTTCACACCACCCCCATTAAAACCCCGCTCTGAGGAAAGGGGAAAGCGTCCCTTTTCAGGTGCCCTGTGGCTACAAATGGCTGACAGCCAAAGAGCGGCCCGCCATGACCCTCGCCGAGGAGGGCATTCGCCTCCCAGGCGCCTTCCTTTTCCCCTCCGAGGTGAGGTGAGGGTTCAAGGCCGCCGCCCTCTCACCATTTTACGAGGCGGCGTGCCGTCGAACCGTCCGGTTCAAGAAGCGGCCTTCCAAGCTCCCAAGCCCGCCCACTCCTCCCTCCGCCGCTCGCCGCCGAGGGCTCCCCTCGGGCCGGCCAGGGCTCTCACGAGAGGCCGGGGATGCGAGGCCTGGCCCCGCCTGAAGCCTCTCCGTTTAGGCCCGTGGCGAGAAGCTGCTCTTTCCCCCCCCCCCCCGGTTATCTTGCAGGAAGGGGGCTATTATTTTTTTGTGGGGGGGGTGGGGAGGAGAAAGGGGTCACTTGGACCCACTCCTCCCCACAACGGGGTGGCTTTTTGGCCGCCCTTTCGCCTGACAGACCCCTTTGTATGGAGGGGAAGGAGAGTCCACCATGTCTGGGAAAATAAATACCCCCCACTACACCCCAGGTTTTTTGGGGGGGTCTTATGGGGCACCCCATATTTGGGGGCCAAGGCCTTGCTGAACTTTCCCATGGGGTGGGACATCCCCTTAACATTACAAAATCCTAGAAATGTAAAGCCTAATCCTTGCAATGCAAAGGTTTATTATTGGGTGGGGTGGGATATATCCATTCCCCCTTTATTGCCTCTCCATAAGGCTATAAAGATGGGGAGGGAGGTTTAAATGGAGGATACCCCCCCCCGAAATTGCCCCACCTCCGCGCGATCCTGGAAGTGGGGCAACCCGAGTTGGGGTGCCGTTCACACGAGCGCCCGCACCCGTGTCCGAGAGCCAGGCAGCGTGGTACTTACTCCAGGGTGGGATGTTCCGGGTCGTAGAAATCCCCCATCTTCGGCCTCTTCTTCACCCGATGCAGCAGCCCCGGCGTGGAGGATCAGGGCAGGCGCAGCCTCCGCCCCACATAAGGGATTGCTATGGGGCTGGGCGGCGGGGGAAACGACCACGACCCCCGCCACCAACGCCCAAGGCTGCAAACCCCCCCCCAAACAGGCGTGCAGGAAACCCCCAAGCCTCTTCCTGACCTGCCCCCCCCCCAAAAAAAGGAGGCCGCTCGGTGGGTCTGGCTCCCGGCGCCTCCTTCACATCCTCTTCGGGGCACCCAAGATAGATATCCAAATTTAAGTTCTCCGGCGGCGGGAAGGTGTGTTGCTGCTGCTGCTGTTGTTGCTTTTTTGCCCTTTCCTGGCCTCCTTGCCCCCCACCCCAAAGCAAAACAGGAGAAACCCCTCCAAGAAAAGCGCTTGCAAATCCTCGCTGGCTGCAGGATCAGGCCATGGGTCTCTCTGCAAACTGCTCCCCGCGTCCCAGGCGCGCAAAAGAAGAAGAATAACAATGCAATTTGTAAAATCCTCGAGCGGAGAAAAGGCGAAAGGGCGCTCGCTTCTTTGCAAAAGGCTCCTCTCTTTTCTGCTGCTTGCCACCGAAACAATATTTTATCCGCGCGGGCAAGGTGGGCAGAGGAGAAAGTTAGGCCCCAGGCGAGCCTTCGGAGAAATGGGCAGGATCTGGAGACGGGCGCCGATCCTCCCCTCCCCAAAACGCCCTTCTCCTTTCCTTGACCTCCCTCCTCCGGCCCTTTCCCACGAGCTCCTTCCCTGGGCAAGATCCAGGCGTCTTCTTCTTCCCCCCAATGGGCGATCCTCCAGCGGCGGCGGCGGCTTGTATTTTGATTTTTGCAGGGCTTTTTCTTGGCACCAAACCTCGCCCTCCTCGCGGCTGCCTCCTTTCCTTCCCTCTCCGAGTTTCCTCTGTCCCTCCTTCCCTGGCTTTATTTCTTTTCTTTTTTTGTCCTCGTTTAACGGCGGCGATCGCGCTCCTAAGGAGGAGCAGCCGCCGCCACCTCCCTCCTCCTCCTCCTCTTCTTCCTCCTCCTCTTCCTCCTCCTCCCGGAGTCCTGAAACGTCCAAACGGAAACTGTAGCTCGTCGACTTCCTACTTGCTGCAAAAGCGCAAAAGCGCAAAGGCGCAGCTCCGCGCAACCGGCGCCCCCTTCTCCTGCCGGCTTCCTTTAAGCGCTGCGCGGCTGCAGGTCGCGGATCTTCCCTTCCGACGCCATCCCGACACGCGTCTCCTTCCCCTCCGGCTTGCAGAGCCGGTTTGCAAGCTCCGAAGGAAGCGCGCTTTTGCTGCAAAGCGCCGCCGCGCTCCTTGGAGAGGAGGAGGAGGAGGACGCGTTTCCCAGGACGCAGGCGGAGAGCGTCGGGCTCTTTATCCGGCGGTATTTCAGATTATTGATGTGTTTTGCTTTAAATACCACTGCTACTAAGACTTTCTCTGCAGTTCTCTCACCTGTGGTTTTCTGTCGACTGATTTGCATTGTAACAACGCATTCCTCCCCTGCATTTATTGGCGCTGGTGATTTATTTTTTGCTTCATAGGAATAATTGTTATCTCGCTCACTGTGCAGCAGGTGTTTTTTGTACCACTATGGGCACAATTTTTCATCCTTTGCAGCCTGATCCTATCACGTGCTTACTCACAAGTATTTCTTTCTTCTTGTTATTATTGTGTTTTCAAGCTGCTATTAAACCACCCTGGAATGGGTAAGAAATCTGATAGATGAATAATATTTGTTTGTTTGTTTCTTCAGAACAGTGCTAGAAATTCCCTGGGCATTTTACGATAGCTGCATCTCCATCTCGCTGGCCTCTCCAGCTTTCTTAAGCAGGTAAGCAGATTATTTATTGCATTTCTACCCACCTTTTTCTCCAAGGAGTCCATGGTTCACCCCCTCCTCAGCTAATCTCTACAACAACCCTGTAAGGAAAGATTAAAGGTAAAGGGACCCCTGACCGTTAGGTCCAGTCGCGGACGACTCTGGGGTTGCGGCGCTCATCTCAGTTTACTTACAGCTTCCGGGTCATGTGGCCAGCATGACTAAGCCGCTTCTGGCGAACCAGAGCAGCGCACAGAAACGCCGTTTACCTTCCCGCCGGAGGGGTACCTATTTATCTACTTGCACTTTGACGTGCTTTGGAACTGCTAGGTTGGCAGGAGCAGGGACCGAGGAACAGGAGCTCACCCCGTCGCAGGGATTCGAACCGCCAACCTTCTGACCGACAAGTCCTAGGCTCCGTTCCGGAGCCCCAGACGCTCGACGACAGGGACGCTTGACAAAACGCCACTCTGCGCACGGAGCAGCTTGTGCTTCTGCGCATGCACAAAGTGCGATTTAGCGCTTCTGCGCATTCATGAGCAGCAAACCCGGAAGTAACCCATTCCAGTATTTCCGGGTTTGCCACGGACATTTGCCAAAATGAACGGTCAATGGGGCGGACGTTCGCGGAGGTATTACTGTATTTGGAATGGAGTCCCTAAAATGGTTGTATGCCACCTTCCGGCAAATCCTTCAACCAAGCAGGTGGCAAACTTCTTGCTCTGCTTTCCTCTGGGCTTCATCAGCAAGGCCGAGAAGGGGTCATGTCGTCTGGGCAGCCCAGGACCTTCAGACACACTGCCCAGGCTTGTGGTCTGGGGAGCTTACTTAAGTACTGCCAACACGGTGGTTTGACTTCACCCCCTCAGGCACACTCCATTGTCACTAGAGACAGACCCTTGCCAACAGCAAAAGATAGCCATTCAACATCACCTGCTTTTATCATGTCCAGAGACTCAATTAACATCTTCCCCTGTTCTTTTTTTTTTAAAATATTTTTATTGCTTTTTTCCAAGGTCAGATACATCATCAATAACTCAGCAAAAGCGGTTTTACAGAATAAAAAAAGAAGAAGATAGAAGAAAGAAAATTCACATTTTCAAACATTTTTTCATAATCCACTGGACTTCCCCACATCCTCCGCACCCTGCATTCTTTGTAATAAAAAAAATAAAAAATATTACAGCAAATTAATATCTTGTTTCATGCGTTTTTGTACTTTCATCTAATTATATTTTAGATTTAGAGTACGTATTATTGGCTAACTTCTTTCCATCCTCAATCCCAAAAATAGGAACATTGCTCTAAAATTTGAACTTTTCACGGTCATAACTTAATTTCCCCCATTTTCAAATCTCAATACTGAAGCATGTTTTTCCAAAAACTTAGCAAATTCTCAACATTCATATAACTTATAATGTTTTTGTAGATAGTCCTTGAATTTTTTCCAGTCCTCTTCCACTGCCTCTTCTCCCAGGTCCCGTAACATCTTCCCCTGTTCTGAGGTCCTATGTCTAACACTGGCATGTTCTTTGTCTTTACTCTTCCAGGAACCATGTCTGCCATGTGGCTACAGATTGGACAGTGTGGTAACCAGATTGGGCAGGAATGGTGGCAAATTGTTACCGGCACAAGTAACCGAGAAGCTGACCTGTACGTCTGTTAGAAGAGCTTGATGGATCAGACCACAGGCTTATAGTTGGGCCTCCAGTCTCTTGTGACTTTTCATATTAATTTTTACATAAAACTTCCACAAATCATATAACATATTTTCTTATACAATATTTTGGACTTCCATCAACCACATCTGAAGATTTTTCAGTCTTTATCACTTAATCTGCATTTCATTAATTTCACTATTACTAGGGCTTGCCAATCAGAAGGTCGGCAGTTCGAATCCCCGCAATGGGGTGAGCTCCTGTTGCTCGGTCCCTGCCCCTGCCAGCCTAGCAGTTCGAAAGCACTCAGTGCAAGTAGATAAATAGGTACCACTCCGGCGGGAAGGTAAACGGCGTTTCCGTGTGCTGCTCTGATTCGCCAGAAGTGGCTTAGTCATGCTGGCCACATGACCCGGAAGCTGTACGCCGGCTCCCTCGGCCTATAGAGCGAGATGAGCGCCGCAACCCCAGAGTCATCCGCGACTGGACCTAACGGTCAGGGCTCCCTTTACCTTTACCTTTACTTTCCTCTACAATATTTTGTACAGTCCTCCTTACAAAACATCTTGCAATCCTACTAGCGTAATCTGTTGATTACAATTGCTTTTCAAGTAATTCACATATTTACTCCAGTCCTCTGAGAATCTCTGTTCCCGCAGGTTTCGAATCCTTCCTGTCATCTAATTTTGCATAGTCCATTAATTTCGCCTGCCATCCTTCTTTCATCGGTAGTTCTTCTTGTTTCCATTTCTGTGCCAATAGTACTCTTGCTGCCATTGCTGCATATAAAAACAGTTGATTATCCTGTCTATTAATATCCTCCTCTCGTGACTTTTCTTGCCGGGTAGTTGTAAAGGTTTCAGTTAGTGGAGGCACGTGAAGAACTTTGAACACTTGGAAGTGGTTTATAATCGTTACGTTTCTGTAGTAATCATAGTTGTATCCTGTGGGCTCAGGGAAAAACATGGCCTCCTCCTTTTTCCCTGGGTGGACAGGGAAAAAATACGTCAATCAATTCCTCTGCCTTTTTAAAAGGCTTCAAATCAGAGACAGACCTTCGTCCTCACCCCTCAAGTATGTCTCAGTAGCTGAGCTAGGAGGAACAAATACAGAGCTCTGGGTTTAATTTTGAATCTAATGATGGTGGGAGGGATGCAGTTCTTAATTTCTTGGCTGGAACTCCTTCTAGAGCTGTTCTGAAAAGCAATGGGCTTCTCAAAACCAGAAATGGTGAAAGCCATCTGACCCAAGGACTAGGATCCCGGTGGCGTTCGATCTGCCGCTTGACTCCAGATCCCATCAGCCCCAGCCAGCAGGGCCAGCGGCGAGAGGTGATGGGAGTTGTGATCCCAGCAACATCTGGAGGATCACAGGCTCCCCATTCCTTAAGCAACTCGCATTTTTGGGGCGTGTTGTCAGTGACAAAAAGCCATCACTTACGACATTGCAGTGATTTTAAGCAGACTTTGCACTGATCGTTTTGCATAGCGGGATTTCTCCAAAGTTCTGGAATCACTGCATGATTCATAAAGGGTAGAGGGGACCCCTGACCATTACAGCCAGTCGTGGCCGACTCTGGGGTTGCGGCGCTCATCTCGCTTTACTGGCCGAGGGAGCTGGCGTACAGCTTCCAGGTCATGTGGCCAGCAGGACTAAGCCGCTTCTGGCGAACCAGAGCAGCACACGGAAACGCCGTTTACCTTCCCGCCAGAGTGGTACCTATTTATCTACTTGCACTTTGACGTGCTTTCGAACTGCTAGGTTGGCAGGAGCAGGGACCGAGCAACGGGAGCTCACCCCGTCGCGGGGACTCGAACCGCCGACCTTCTGATCGGCAAGTCCTAGGCCCTGTGGTTTAACCCACAGCGCCACCCGCGTCCCTCCAGGATTAATAGAATCATACAATTGTAGAGGTGGAAGGGCCCCCGACGATTGTCCTGTCCAGCCCCCTGCAATGCAGGAATTTCAACTAAAGCCAAGTGGGGCGAGTGGACCGAGAGTGTCTTGGGCCTTCCTTGATGTGAGCTGCTGCTGTGTCTCTTCCAGTTACCCGTTCTGCTCCCAGGATGGCCATCTGAGCGCCGTCTGTGTGGACAGTGAGCCCAAAGTGGTGAGGAAGCTGCAGAAACAAGTCAAAAGAGGGTAAGTGGCAGGGGCTCCATCTCCGCTGCCCTGCATTCCTTGGAAGGCAACATAAGGAATCTCCAGGCCACTCTTAATAGATTTATTTGGGTAGTGGAGACAGGGGAAGGATACAAGAGGGGACGAGCCTTTTATGAGCCAGTGTGGTGTAGTGGTTAAGAGCGGTAGTCTCGTAATCTGGGGAACCGGGTTCGCGTCTCCGCTCCTCCACATGCAGCTGCTGGGTGACCTTGGGCCAGTCACACTTCTCTGAAGTCTCTCAGCCTCACTCACCTCACAGGGTGTTTGTTGTGGGGGAGGAAGGGAAAGGAGAATGTTAGCCGCTTAAAGACGCCTTAAAGGGAGTGAAAGGCGGGATATCAAATCCAAACTCTTCTTCTTCTATGAGATTGCATAGCCGATAGAGGCTTGGAAGCTTTCAGCATCTGCTGAAATCTCAGAAACCGGGGTGGGTCAGCAGGATTTCCAGTGGTGAAAGCTTGCCAGAAGGCTAAAAGATAAAGGGTAAAGGGACCCCTGACCATTAGGTCCAGTCGTGGCCGACTCTGGAGTTGCGGTGCCCATCTCACTTTATTGGCCGAGGGAGCCGGCGTACAGCTTCTGGGTCATGTGGCCAGCAAGACTAAGCCGCTTCTGGCGAACCAGAACAGCACACGGAAACGCCGTTTACCTTCCCGCCACAGTGGTACCTATTTATCTACTTGCACTTTGACGTGCTTTTGACGTGCTCGGTTGGCAGGAGCAGGGACCAAGCAACGGGAGCTCACCCCGTCGCGGGGATTCGAACCGCCGACCTTCTGATCGGCAAGTCCTAGGCTCTGTGGTTTTACCCACAGCGCCACCCGCATCCCATTTAGCCAGAAGGCTAAATAGTGCAAAATAAGCTTTATATCCACATTCGCTTGGTTCAGATTGCAGAAATCCACTTTCTTGGTGAAAACTTTGTATACAGGTGATGACCGGTTTAGGTGCATCCAGTTGACATATGATCCCTTTTGGAACTGGAAGACGGTAGAAATGGGGGTGGGGGGGGTGACGCAGTGCGCTTATATGCACTGCAGCGATGCGCACAGGGGCCAGGAACAGAACCCCCACGCGAAACATATTTTTATTCTATTGCTTTAGTGCACAGAGACCTAAATAAAGTCTCTCTGCCAGTTTCATCATTATCATCATCATCATTCCTTTTTCCTCCCCCCACCCCAAAACCAGGCTATTCAGAGAGTCCAATCTCATCATGGGGAAGCAGGGACGAGGCAGCAACTGGGCTTATGGTAAGAGCCCCCGAGTTCTCCGTTGTAGCAATGCCCCATCATCACGCCACTCAATGCTGGAGTTAACTTTTTATTAGCAAGAACATCTGCACAGGCTGAGTGTCAGGCCTCACGAGCACAGCAGATCATCCCCAGTAGGTCTTGACATAGCTGTCAACGTTTCCCTTTTTTGGGGGGAAATTCCCTTATTCTGAATAGGATTCCTCGGAAGAAAAGGGGAAAGTTGACAGCTATGGGTCTTGACCCATGGATCACTTGCCAAGACAGAAGGTCCCCACCTCTCCACAGTCTTAAGCTCCCTCCTTTCCAGGGTTTTCCCCAAGCAAGCCGTTGTCAGCGCCCGCGTGCAACCAACCTCTGCTCTGCTCTTTTCAGACCTCTTCTGGTTCTGGGAGATAAGCAGGGAGAGGAGCTTGTCACAGCAGGAAGGGGAGGTACTTTGGCTTCTTCAACAGCCCGACTCATTTTTGCCTCTTGGCTTCCTTCCTCTCCTGCTTCTGCCTCCGATTCTGGACTTTTCTCTGCCACAGGTTCTCCCTGCTCACTAGGCTCTGTTACTTCCAACACCTCTTCCCAGTCTTCTCCCACTGAAAGCTCATTGTCATCCCATCTCCACTCCCCGGACTCTGAGCTTTCTTCCCTTGGGGGCTTCCCAGCTCGATCACCGCCACCATTCCTCTGCATCCAACAGCCTCTGGAAAGCTCATAAGAATGGAAAGACAGTGGAAGAGAGCCAATATACCGTATTTTTGACTCACTTTTCCCCTCCTAAAAAGTAAGGGGAAATGTGTGTGCGTCTTACGGAGCGAATGCAGGCTGCACAGCTATCCCAGAAGCCAGAACAGCAAGAGGATCGCTGCTTTCACTGTGCAGCGATCCCTCTTGCTGTTCTGGCTTCTGGGATTCAGAATATATTTTTTCTTGTTTTCCTCCTGCAAAAACTAGGTGTGTCTTATGGTCTGGTGCGTCTTATAGAGTGAAAAATACGGTATGTGGAGGGAAATGGCAGGTACAGTCGTACCTCAGAAGTCGGACGGAATCCGTTCCGGAAGTGCATTCGACTTCTGAAACGTGGAGAAACCAAAGCATGGCTCCTGCAGCCAATCGGAAGCAGTGGAAGCCTGGTCAGATTATTATTATTATTATTATTATTATTATTATTATTATTATTATTATTATTTTATTTATTTATTTATTTATTTATTTATTTATTTATTTATTATTTATTTATATATATATCCTGCCCTCCCCAGCCAGTAAAGTAATACAGCACTCTAAAATCAATTCATTCTAAAATCACTTCAAAATCAAATTAATGGCAACCATTGGACTAGAGTTCTGTGAGGATTACCAAAGGAGGGGGTCAGGCTGTGCCTTGGCCAAAGGCCTGTGGAACAGCTCTGCCTTGCAGGCCCTGCGGAAAGATGTCAGGTTCCACCAGATTGGGGCCACGGCTGAAAAAGCCCTGGCTCTGTTCGAGACCAGACCATAAGACGCACCTAGTTTTTGGAGGAGGAAAACAAGAAAAAAATATTCTGAATCCCAGAAGCCAGAACAGCAAGAGGGATCGCTGCGCAGTGATCCCTCTCGGTGTTCTGGCTTCTGGGATAGCTGCGCAGCCTGCATTTGCTCCATAAGACGCGCACACATTTCCCCTTACTTTTTAGGAGGGGGAAGTGCGTCTTATAGAGCGAAAAATATGGTATATAAAATAAGTAGGGATTAATGCTGTGCAAAATGAACCATGGAAAGAGGAAGGGAAGTCATTGATATTTTAAAGTTGTTTAAGTGAATACAGTGGTACCTCTGGTTGCGAACGGGTCCGTTCCGGAGGCCCGTTCGCAACATGAAAAGAGCTCAGCCCGCAGCGGCGCGTCTGCGCATGCGCAGGTTGCAATTCGTTGCTTCTGCGCATGCACGTGATTTCATTTTGCGCATCTGCGCAAGTGCGAAACCCGGACGTAACCCTTTCCGGTACTTCCGGGTCGTGTGGGACGTAACCAGAAAGAACGTAACATGAAGCAAACGTAACGTGGTATGACTGTATTCTAAAATGTGAAACAAAAATTTAATAATAATTATAATAATAAAAAGCAGGGACCCTCCTGCCCTGTTGCTCGTCTCCAGCAGCTGTTCTCACTTGGTGTCTGTACCTTTTGCGGTTCACAGGTTATCACGGCGTCCGTTCAGAGAGCGAGCAGAATTTGTGCAGTCGGACAATGGAGAGTCTGCGGAAAGAGGCCGAGAAAAGGGATTTCTACGGTGGGACTGTGCTGTTCCACAGCCTCAGCGGGGGCACAGGAGCTGGTGAGGACGTCGCTTCAATGAAAGTTATTTTTCCCTCCCCTGACTACGGCCACAGCCACACAATGCATTTCATCCAAAGAATCCCGGAAACTGTGGTTTGCACCTCACGGCGCTACACTTCCCAGCACCTGCGGTGAGCTACAGTTTCCAGTATTCTCTGCGGGAAGCCATGTGCTTTTAAAGGTACGGTGTGGGCTGCCTTTGAAGATGGTTCATAATAATAATCAACAACAACAAGGTCCATAAATAGCAACACCCCAGAGGTCCCGGGCCCTAAGGAAGTTAGATTAGCCTCAACCAGAGCCAGGGCCTTTTCAACACTGGCCCCGGCCTGGTGGAACGCTCTGTCTCATGAGACCAGGGCCCTGCGGGATCTGATTTCTTTCTGCAGGGCCTGTAAGACAGAGTTGTTCTGCCTGGCCTTTGGCTTAGAATCAATTTGATTCCCTCCCCCTCTTTCTTTTTTCCTTTCTCCTCCTGTGATGGAACTCCTATTTGGAGACTTCCCTGGCTTTTTTTCTGGCCCACGTCGGACCAGTCTGGATAGTTGGTCTTGGTGAAGACTTGACGTTTTCATCCCCCAAAAAGTTTTTGATTGGAGTTCCTACTGAAATGAGGCTGCATTTTAATGTTGTATTTTAATCTTGTTTTTAAGTTGTATTTCAATCAATTGTTTTTATACCTGGTGTTAGCTGCCCTGAGCCCAGTCTTGGCTGGGGAGGGCGGGGGTATAAATAAAATTCAACAACAACAACAAATTTATTGTCTATACCCTGCCCATCTGGCTGGGTTTCCCCAGCCACTCTAGGCGGCTCCCAACAGAATATTAAAAACATGATAAAACACCAAACATTAAAAACTCCACTAAACAGGATTGCCTTCAGCCAGCGCAGAATTCGGCAGCCAGGTTGCTCACCAGGACAAGGCAGTTTGCACATCTTGCACCAATCCTGGTCCAACTGCACTGGCTGCCAGTTAGCTTCTGGGCCCAATCCAAAGTTCTTGTTTTGACCTATAAAGCCTTAAACGGCTCAGGATGGCAGTACCTCAAGGACCGCTTCTTCCCATATGAACCACCCTGGACCCTGAGATCATCTTCTGAGGCCCTCCTTCGTGTGCCACCTCCTCAAGAGCTCCAGAGGGTGGCAACATGAGAACGGGGCCTTTTCTGTTGTGGCTCCCCGTTTGTGGAATGCTTTCCCCAGGGAAGTTTGCCTGGCGCCTTCATTATGCGTATTTAGGCATCAGGCGAAAAGTTTCCTCTTCAACAAGGCCTTTGGCCAATTGATATTCTAATAATAATAATTACCGTACATAACAATGTCCAGAGGGACATTGCAAGAGCATCTCTTAGGTTGGGGCAAATGGCTAAAATGTTTTAAAATGTTTTAAATGGTTTTCATTGTGGTTCCTCTGTTTTGTTTTTGTCAGGCTGAGGTTTTGGGGTTGGGCTTATTTTAATTTGGGTATAACTATAAACTCTTTAGTGACGTGGGTGGCACTGTGGGTTAAACCACAGAGCCTAGGACTTGCCAATCGGAAGGTCGGCAGTTCGAATCCCCGCAATGACGGGGTGAGCTCCCATTGCTCGGTCCCTGCTCCTGCCCACCTAGCAGTTCGAAAGCACGTCAAAGTGCAAGTAGATAAATAGGTACCGCTCCTTAGTCGTCCACGACTGGACCTAATGGTCAGGGGTCCCTTTACCTTTACCTTACATTAACTATCTGCCATGTTATCAATCAATAAATTTGTGTATGTCTATTCAAAACCTGCCAAGGAGTCCAGTTCAATTTGTTGTCTTTTTAAGTAATTTGTAAAAAGTTCCCATTCTTCTTTAAAATCACAGTTGTCCTTATCTCGCAATTTGTATGTCAATTTAGCCAGTTCTGCATAATACATCAGTTTCTCTTGCCACTCTTTTGTTGGGATTTATTCATTCTTCTTCTTCTTCTTCTTCTTCTTCTTATTATTATTATTATTATTATCAGTGATAATAATAGCAACTCCTTCTTTCCCTGGTGTTAAGCAATGCTAATCCGTTTGCGTTGGCCTCTTCTCCCCTAGGGCTGAGTTCCCGGTTGTGCGAAGCCATTCGAGAAGAGTACCCCCTCGGCCACATCCTGTCCGTATCGGTGGCACCGCACCAAGCTGGTGAGAGCCCCCTGCAGCACTACAACGCCCTGTTGTGCCTGTCTTGGCTTCAGAGGTGAGTAAAAGAAGGTCTGTCTCTTACAAGGCTTGGCCAGCAAAAGGAAAAAAGCAACAGCACTGGAATATAGCTGGCTTAAGATCTACTCAGGGTAGACACATCAGAATGAATGTGCCAGAGTTAGGCATTTCCACTTTATTTCAACGGTTCTCCTCCAAGCATGGCAAGCATTTATTTATTTTTAACATCTTTACTGAAATTCAAAAAGTACTTAACTATATGTGCACCAGGGACGCGAGTGGCGCTGTGGGTAAAACCTCAGTGCCTAGGACTTGCCGATCGTATGGTCGGCGGGTTCAAATCCCCGCGGCGGGGTGAGCTCCCGTCTTTCGGTCCCAGCTCCTGCCCACCTAGCAGTTAGAAAGCACCCCTAAGTTCAAGTAGATAAATAGGTACCGCTTTATAGCGGGAAGGTAAACGGCGTTTCTGTGTGCTGCGCTGGTGCTGGCTCGCCAGAGCAGCTTCGTCAAGCTGGCCACGTGACCCGGAAGTGTCTCCGGACAGCGCTGGCCCCCGGCCTCTTAAGTGAAATGGACGCACAACCCTAGAGTCGGACACGACTGGCCCGTACGGGCAGGGGTACCTTTACCCTTATATGTGCACCAGACATGGTCAGATGCGACCAATAAGGAGAAACAGAAGCCGTGCAGAAGGGAAAACAAGGGGGGAGGATGGGGGGGACCCCAAACTGAATATTTTACAAGGTTGTTATTGTACTTCACCAGATCTTAACCTGTTCCAGTATTTGTAAGAATGGATTCCAAATATCATTGAATTTGTCCATGGCAAGCCTGCGTTTATATGCAAGTTGTTCATATATAAACAAGCGCAAAACAACAACAAACCTCTGGTTACGTGAAACATTCAATAAACACACAAGACATAACCCGCTGTACGTTTGAAAAAATAATATATATTCTATTCGTTGTATTGAATTGTAGATTTTAACAGAAGTAGCTCATAAAGTTCAACGAAAAACGTAGAAGATCCACTGGATCAGTTCATACTCTAATCAGTTTATGCATAAGGTCAACGAAAAACGTAGAAGATCCACTGGATCAGTTCATACTCTAATCAGTTTATGCATAAGGTCCAATTATGTGAAAGTGTCTATTCCACTTGTCTGTTCATAGAGTCCAGCAGTCCACACACAAGATTGTGGCAGTCTAAGACAAGGATTTCCAGAATATTAGCCTTGTTTTGCCGTCTTGGGCTTCATCAATAGTACGAACTCATATATGATATCACAGGACAGTGGATCTTATAGCATAGTAGTAGCTGCTGTAAGGCGGGATATAAAATAATAATAATAATAATAACAACAACAACAATCACTGCAGTTGGTGACAGCAGTGATGAAATTAAAAGACGCCTGCTTCTTGAGAGAAAGGCGATGACAAACCTAGACAGCATCTTAAAAAGCAGAGACATCACCTTGCCAACAAAGGTCCGTATAGTTCAAGCTCTGGTTTTCCCAGTAGTGATGTATGGAGGTGAGAGCTGGACCATAAAGAAGGCTGATCGCCGAAGAATGGATGCTTTTGAATTAAGGTGCTGGAGGAGACTCTTGAGAGTCCCATGGACTGCAAGAAGATCAAACCTCTCCATCCTTAAGGAAATCAGCCCTGAGTGCTCACTGGAAGGACAGATCGTGAAGCTGAGGCTCCAGTACTTTGGCCACCTCGTGAGAAGAGAAGACTCCCTGGAAAAGACCCTGATGTTGGGAAAGATGGAGGGCACAAGGAGAAGGGGACGACAGAGGACAAGATGGTGGGACAGTGTTCTCGAAGCTACCAGCATGAGTCTGACCAAACTTCGGGAGGCCGTGGAAGACAGGAGTGCCTGGCATGCTCTGGTCCAGGGGGTCACGAAGAGTTGGACACGGCTAAACGACTAAGCAACAACAACAACAACAACAATAAAATTAGTCTATCAGAAATGACCCTGACCCAGCTTTGCTCTCCTCCCAGGTATGCAGACGGGGTCCTTCTGTTTCACAACGACGAGGTGCTGAAGCGGGCAGCCGCTCCCCTGGCGAGGAAGGACACTCCTGAAGCCTCGTGCCAAGTCTCCTTCCCTTCTATGAATGCCTACCTCGCTTCCTGCCTCGCTGGGCTTCTCTGCCCACTAAAGATTTTCACATCACAAAGGTGAGTCCGAGGCAGGCGCTTGGAACAGGGGCTGGCTTTTGCTGCTTCCTGTCCAGCCGACCCTTGATTGAAGAGCCGTTCCATTGCATTCTCTTAAGAAAGGCCAAATGCTTTCTGCAGACGTGTACGCCTGAGATAGCCTTCCCCTGCCTAGCACCCAACAGCCATTCCATCCTACAACTTCCATCCTAAATGCCCTCGGCCCTTTATACCTGAAGGAGCATCTCCATCCCCATGGTTCAGCCCGGACACTGAGGTCCAGCGCCGAGGGCCTTCTGGCGGTTCCCTCCCTGCGAGAAGCGAGGTTACAGGGAACCAGGCAGAGGGCCTTCTCGGTGGTGGCGCCCGCCCTGTGGAACACCCTCCCATCAGATGTCAAGGAAATAAACAGCTGTCTGACTTTTAGGAGACATCTGAAGGCACCTCTGTTTAGGGAAGTTTTTAATGTTTAGTGTTTTTAATACAGTGGTACCTTGGGTTAAGAACTTAATTTGTTCCATAGGTCCATTCTTAACCTGAGGTACCACTTTAGCTAATGGGGCCTCCCGCTGACGCCACCACGCAATTTCTGTTCTCATCCTGAAGCAAAGTTCTTAACCTGAGGTACTATTTCTAGGTTAGCGGAGTCTGTAACCTGAAGCGTATGTAACTCGAGGTACCACTGTACTATTTCTGGGTTAGCAGAGTCTGGTTACCAGAGTCTGTAACCTGAAGCGTCTGTAACCCGAGATACCACAGGTTACAGACGCTTCAGGTTACAGACTCCGCTAACCCAGAAATAGTACCTCAGGTTAAGAACTTTGCTTCAGGATGAGAACAGAAATCGCGCGGCGGCAGCGGGAGGTCCCATTAGCTAAAGTGGTGCTTCAGGTTAAGAACAATTTCAGGTTAAGAATGGACCTCCGGAACGAATTAAGTACACTGTATTCTGTTGGGAAACCCAGCCAGATGGGCAGGGTATAAAATTAGTATCCTTATTATCCAGCCCCAAAATGGTTTGGGAGCCTCTGGGGCAGGTGTTGCCTGTTACGTCTGCTCTTCTCAATGCCCTGTCCCTTGCTTTTCAGTGGGGTTAGCATGGGGATGGAGCCCTGGGAGCTGCTGAGAACCGTCTGCCCCATGCCTGCCTTCAAGTTCCTCCACACAGCTCAAGCCAGCACAAGGTAAGAGCAGGGGCCTCACCGGGATGTTTCAGCTCATTTCTGAGCACAATTCAAAGTGTTGGTGCTGACCTTTCAAGCCCTCAACGGCCTTGGTCCAGTAGACCTGAAGGAGTGCCTTCTGGCGGTTCCCTCACTGTGAAAAGCCAAGTTACAGGGAACCAGGCAGAGGGCCTTCTCGGTGGTGGCGCCCGCCCTGTGAAACGCCCTCTCACCAGATGTCAAAGAGAAAAACAACTACCAAACTTTTAGAAGACATCTGAAGGGCAGCTTTTAATGCTTAATATGTTATTGTATTTTAGTGCTTTGTTGGAAGCCGCCCAGAGTGGCTGGGGAAACCTATCCAGATGGGCGGGGTATAAATAATAAATTATTATTATTAATAATAAGAATAAGAATAAGAATACTATTATAGTGGTGCCCCGCAAGACGAATGCCTCGCAAGACGGAAAACTCGTTAGACGAAAGAGTTTTCCGTTTTGGAGGTGCTTCGCAAAACGAATTTCCTATGGGCTTGCTTCGCAAGACGACAATGTCTTGCGAGTTCCTGCTGGTTTTTTTCCTTTCCCCCCCTTTTTCTAAGCTGCTAAACCGCTTATCAGCTGATCCGATCAGCAGATAAGCCGCTAATCCGCTAATCCTTCAATGGGCTTGCTTCGCAAGACGAAAAAACCGCTAGACGAAGAGAATCACAGAACGGATTCTTTTCGTCTTGCGAGGCACCACTGTATTATTATAGCTGTGTTGCTTGTATTGCAGGGGGTGATACTAGATAACCCTGCATTGCAGGAGGTTGATCTAGTGGAGGAAAAGCCCTGTTGCCCTAGCACAGGCATCTCCAAACTCGCCTCTCCAGCTGTTTTTTGGGACAACAGTTCCCATCATCCCTGACCATTGGTCCCGTTAGTGAGGGATGGTGGGAGTTGTAGTCCCAAAACAGCTGGAGGGCCGAGTTTGGGGGTGCTTGCGGGAGCTAGAATGCTGAATCCAGGCCAAAGTCTTATTTTCATTAAAAGAGCTCCATTTCAAACAAAGATGTCGAGTGAGGTCTATATTTTCATACATAAAGTATGCAACAACTCGGATGTTATTAGCCCAGAGACGGAAGGAAGAGACGACCCCGACCAGAGAAGAACGGCAAACCAAGACTATGGGCTATGCCGAAACGGCAAAATTAACTGGGAAGCTCAGGAACCAAGAGGTCAAAAGCTTTAAAAAAGAATGGGGGAAAATTATAGTTTACTTAGGAGACCACTGTAAGGAGATGACAGCATTAGCAGGATTTTAAACACTCTTGTAATGTAATGAAAAATTACGGACAATTTAGATGGACAAAAAACGAGATAACAAACTGATAAAGGTAAAGGGACCCCTGACCATTAGGTCCAGTCGTGTCTGACTCTGGGGTTTTGCCGCTCATCTCGCTTTACTGGCCAAGGGAGCCGGCATACAGCTTCCGGGTCATGTGGCCAGCATGACTAAGCTGCTTCTGGCGAACCAGAGCAGTGCACGGAAACGCCGTTTACCTTCCTGCTGGAATGGTGCCTATTTATCTACTTGCACTTCTGTGCTTTCAAACTGCTAGGTTGGCAGGAGCAGGGACCGAGCAACGGGAGCTCACCCCGTCACGGGGATTCGAACCACTGACCTTTTGATCAGCAAGTCCTAGGCTCTGTGGTTTAACCCACAGCGCCACCCGCGTCCCAACAAACTGATAGGCAGTTATAAATGTTATTATTGGGACCCATGGCCGAGGTGGGAGTAGGTCACAAGATTCAGAGTAATCTCTGTGTATGGATTTTTGTATTTGTTTTGTTGCATTTGTTTCTTATTCTTTTAAAATCAAATAAAAATTATTTATATATATTTTAATACATAAAAGTAAAATAAAAATTCAATACAGTGGTACCTCGGGTTAAGTACTTAATTCGTTCCGGAGGTCTGTTCTTAACCTGAAACTGTTCTTAACCTGAAGCAGCACTTTAGCTAATGGGGCCTCCCGCTGCCGCCGCGCCACCACTGCGCAATTTCTGTTCTCATCCTGAAGCAAAGTTCTTAACCCGAGGTACTATTTCTGGGTTAGCGGAGTCTGTAACCTGAAGCGTATGTAACCCAAGGTACCACTGTATTACCAGAATATATAGTGCTGGCTGACCCAGTTTAACTGGTATATAGACAATGGGATGGCTCAGTATGTAGAAGGTCCCAGGTTCTGTCCCCAATAGCACCTCCAAAATAGCATCCCCTTCTCCGAAACCCTGGAGGGCCACCTGTCAGCCTGTGTACTAGATGGATTTTTGGTCTGGCTTGGTATAAGCAGCGCCCGTCATGGACTGGCTAAGATGTAGAAGAATGGTGCAAGGCACCAGCTGTGGAACCCCCAAGGGAAACCCCCAGGGAAAAAAGGCTCAGAGCAGCAGGGCTTGTTGCTGGGACAGAGATGAGTGGTCAGACTGGGAAGAGGAGGTGTTGGAAGCTGAAGAGGCAACTGGGCTTAGTGAGCAGGGAGAGTCTGGGGCAGAGAGCAGTCCGGAGAGGGAGAGGAAGGGAGCCAAGAAGCAGAGATGAGGCTATGCGACAACGGCCGCGAGAGTTCTGGTAGCACAAGGATGGAAGACTGAAGAAACCCCAACTAAAGAATCATGGCAAGAAAAATTGATGGACTAGGCAGAACTGGCAAAACTGACATATAAACTACGGGACAAGGATAACTGTGATTTTAAGGATGAATGGGAACCCTTTACAAAGTATCTGAAGACGCAACAAAGCGAACTGGACTCCTTGGCTGGCTTTGAATAAACATTCACAAACTTTTTATTGCTAATAATCAGCTAAATAGTTTGAGGATCTATAAAACTTTGTAACATGCAGAAAACAGCATTCTTAGAGAAACCAAGGACTGGAACTGAAGGAGGTGGGGGGTATGGGGGAGAGGGAGGGAAAATGGGGGGGACAAGGATGATATGTTTTTGGATAATATGTCTTGTTATAATTTTGAATATTATTTTTTTTTTAAAAAAAAGAAGCAGCAGCAGAGATGAGGCAGGTTGCTGGGGAAGCAGGTTGCTGGGGGTCTCCCCCTCCTGCTGTGATCAGCTGCCATTTCCCCTGATCTCCCAGAACCAGAAGAGGTATGAAGAGGGGAGAGCAAAGACAGGCAGGGCGATGGAGTCTCAGATTCCGGCGGGGAAAGTGAGAAAGCAAGGGCCTTCAGTCCCCACAGCTGATCTGCTGAGGGTCTGGCTTCCTGAGCTGTTTCGTTTCTTTGAAAAAAGAGTTAATTTCTCTGACACTGTTCGAGTTATTGCTCCCTACCTTCCTCCATATGGGATTGCCTTTCGGGTGAGTGGGACCTACGTTTCATTTCCCCAGGGGGACGGTCTTTTGGGACAGCCTGGCGTCTTCCGTGCTGCAGCCGCTGCCTCGCCAGTCTCTGGCTGGAACTCCTGTATCCTTTTGCTGGGGGGGGAGTTAAATGAGTAACTTGGGCTTCTCTACCTCTGGGCGTTTGCCCCCGTGCAGGCTGCAGTGTAAAATTCAGAGGAAGAATCTCCTGCCTCGGATAGCAGATCATACTAGGAATTCAGCTGGGATAGAAGGTCAGGGGTCAGCAAACTTTTTCAGCAGGGGGCCGGTCCACTGTCCCTCAGACCTTGTTGGGGGCTGGGCTATATTTTTTTGGGGGGTAATGAATGAATTCCTATGCCCCACAAATAACCCAGAGATGTATTTTAAATAAAAGCACACATTCTACTCATGTGAAAACACCAGGCAGGCCCCACAAATCACCCAGAGGTGCATTTTAAATAATAGGACACATTCTACTCATGTGAAAATACGCTGATTCCCAGACCATCCGTGGGCCAGATTTAGAAGGCGATTGAGCTGGATCCAGTTCCCTGCCCATGGAACAAACTCTTCGTAAAATCCAGCCCAAAGCGTAGTTTGGAAGGTACTTTCAAAGAATAAATACAAAAGCATGATTAATTGATTTAGCAAAGGAGGGGCAGACTAAGGAACAGAATTGCAGGACAGAACTGCCCAGTAATTCCAAGTGCTTGATTAAGCAGTAATACCACCCTCTTTTCAAATACCTGATAATATCCTAAAGTCAGTTTCATTATCCCATTTATATCCTGCCTTTCCTCCAAGGAGCTTAAAGGGGCACACATAGTTCTCCCCCCTCCATTTTACCCTGCCAACAACCCTGAGAGGTAGGTTCGGCTGTGCGTGAATGCGTGCCTCGAGGTCGCCACCTGGTAAGCTTCTTTGAAGAGCCAGGATTTGAACCCGGGTCTCGCCAGCCCTAGATTGGCGCTCTTACTAGGGGATGGGGAACCATTATCTGCTTGGGGTCAGTGTTACCTTCTGGGCAGCCTGGTGGTGGGCAGGATCAGAGGCAAAACTGGGCACAGCGGAAAATGCAAGTTTCCCTTTTGCACAGTAGGGTGGTTTCTCCAGACACTTCCAATCTCTTTGTCTCCATCCAGGCGAGCAAAAGGCTTTGCTAGAGATGAAGGACACATACCAGTGTGATAGGAATTTAGAGGTCTTGGGTATATGTTAAAGGTTCATAAGTGTACCAACCAAGCACGTACATAGATCGGCACAGGAAAACCGACCAAAGCCATTTTGATTCCCAAACTGAGCAAATGATTTCTCTGCAAGGTCAAAGTGGGAAACCTCCCCATTGTCTCTTTCCTCACAAATCCTGTCTTAAGGGCACATTTAAGAAATGAATGGGGTGTGAGCCTGACCTGGCTCAGGAACTAAGTATTTATCATTACAAAAGACTGGCCAGGCTCCCCAGGCAATCCAATCAAGTGACCTGCCAGACAGGAGAAAAACAACATTCAAATTTCTGTTTTAGACCGCCTTTTCTGTGATGTAGGTATGATGTATCTGGGGGGTGGTCTTAGGTTACACCCCTTCTGTGATGTAGGTATGATGTTTCTGGGGGTGGTCTTGATCTACAGGATGGGAATTTCAAAATGTCTATATAACGCATTGCCCGCCATTGTTCTGGGTTCCTCCTCCCTCCTGCATGTGGTGAGTGAGGACCCTGTTGCAACAGATCAATAAAGATCAGGCTTACTAGCTGCTTTGCTTCTCAATATTCTCTGGTTGGCCTCTGTTATTTTCTCCTACCAATAGGGAACCTATGTAAGGACTCTATATAGGCTCCTGGGTACCCCATAAGGGAAAAAGGGCAGATTTTGTTTACAACAGATGGCGACCACGAAGGGACATTTCGTTGCCCGGGTTCTGGGAGCGAGGGAGGACTGGTGATCCGAGAGTTGCCTCAACCCCTAGGCCTGAGGTTTCCCAACCCTGCTCTAACCACTATTCCACACTGCTGTGGCAGGACGACGAGGGGCAGCAGCAACAACGAGGTTGACCCTTTTCGAAAACCGTCCGGCTGGATTTTCCTGTTCCTGCTCTGTTTAGCCAAAGGAATTCCTGCTCCCTCGGAAGCATCCATGGATGCAAGTCCCAGGGAAGGGCAGCAGGTGGTGGGTCGGGTGGCAAGGGCTCTTCCATCTCCCTTGTGCTTTGGTCCTTAGCAGGCTTGCCGGCAGCACCAGAGCACAGCCGTGCTGGCTGTGGCTCGCGGCCCCCGGGAAGACGCCTTTCTCGCGAACCCCAGTTTGGTCCTGAGGAAGCTGAGGCAAGGCTACCGCTGCGTTTCGTGGAACCCCTTCGCTGCCACTTACTGGACCGGTCAGTCTCGCAAGCCCCTGGTTCTGCCCAGGACATTTATTATTATTATTGTTGTTGTTGTTTAGTTATTTAGTCGTGTCCAGCTCTTCGTGACCCCATGGACCAGAGCACGCTAGGCACTCCTGTCTTCCACTGCCTCCCGCAGTTTGCTCAAACTCATGCTGGTAGCTTCCAGAACACTGTCCAACCACCTCGTCCTCTGGCGTCCCCTTCTCCTTGTGCCCTCCATCTTTCCCAACATCAGGGTCTTTTCCAGGGAGCCTTCTCTACTCATGAGGTGGCCAAAGTCTTGGAGCCTCAGCTTCAGGATCTGTCCTTCCAGTGAGCACTCACGGCTGATTTCCTTCAGAATGGAGAGGTTGGATTTTCTTGCAGTCCATGGGACTCTCAAGAGTCTCCTCCAGCACCAGAATTCAAAAGCATCCATTCTCCGGCGATCAGCCTTCTTTATGGTCCAGCTCTCACTTCCATACATCACTACTGGGAAAACCATAGCTTGAACTATACGGACCTTTGTCGGCAAGGTGATGTCTCTGCTTTTTAGTATTATATCCAAGCACAATTAGTTTTAAAGGCCTGGCTGAATTATGATGCCAGGAGAATTTCCCTGGGGAGGCTGTTCCATGGGGTGGCGGCATCTTTGATGATGTGCTTTGGACATCTGCCGTAAATCTATATATTTTAGGCTGGCTCCAGAGCTTGCACTAATTCACCACCTCTGTCCTCCCTCCAGATGCTGCCAGCCTCGTGGCTCCCAGCCGGCACAGCTTGACCGTCTGTGCCAACCACTGCAGCTCAGCTGACCTCCTGCAGCGGGTGGAGCAGCGGGCGAGGGCCATGTACGAGAGCAACGCTTTCCTGCACTGGTACTGGAGGCACGGCTGCGAGGAAGGAGATTTTGAGCAGGCTTTTGAGACAGTGCGCTCCGTCCTGGGAGATTACAGCCACCTCGGGGAGTGAGCGCGACGGATGCAGGACCTCTAACAGACCACCTTGTAACACTCGGGAGGAGCGGGGCCCAAGGAAATAGGGGGCGACTATCGTTATGAATGTGCCACCCCCGCAATCCACACCCGGACACACCCCAGGGTCAGCATGGCTGTGTGACTGTGTAAAACAGGGTTTCCAAACTTTGCTGTTTTTGGACTACAGTTCCCATCATCCCTGACTACTGCTAGCTAAGGATGATGGGAGTTGTAGTCCAAAAACTGCGGGAGACCAAGTTTGGGAAAGGACCTGACTCTGGCTTTCAAATGTATACCTGGAATCCCTTTTACAGGCGCTCTGGCCCACCCAGGAATGCTTTTGGGAATGATTCTCTTGGGAGGGTCAGAATGAGTCCTCTACCTAAAGTTCTCAGGGCACTTCCTGGACTTCAGCTCCCATGAGCCCCATTCAGCATGGCTTTTGGTCAAGGATGATGGGAACTGCAGTCCGGCGACATCCAAAGAGCATCAGGAGCCTCATCCCTCGCTTTGAGCAGGGCCTGTCCATAGGGATCTCCAAAACCTAGTGCCCTGCCTGCTGACTTTCTGTGAAAGAATCACGTGTCCATCAGCGATGGGCTCCCAGATAGTGTCCCACCAGCCAGCAGTGGTCTGTGAACATCCATGCGGGAAAGTTTTAATTTTAATAAATTCCATAGGACCTTGGCATCTATCACAGCGCCAGGCAGTTGTTATACAACAGGCAGGAGAATCATTAAGTGGTTCGTGAAGACCCTCAGTAACTTTCAAGTGGTCCGTGGAAGGTTTGGAAACCAGTGCTCTGTGCTTTAAAACATCCAGCAACGTCCCTTAGTTGGAGATCCGTAGTGTACATAGGGCAACCTTTGCCCCACGCCACCCCGGCACTCTCCAGATGTTTGCCACTGCAACTCCCAAAAGGCCAGTATGAAAGGGTGCACTGTGAGTGCCAGGGGGGACCTCTGTGGGTGAGGCCAGGCGCTATTTGGGGCAGCTCTGTTCTGATAGATGGGTACTGTCACGGAGCTGGCAGGGAAGGCTCCGGAGTTGAAGGAGGGGAGAGAGAGGGGCCGGTAGAAGAGGCAGAAGTAAAAGAGGGTGGAGAGCAAGGGGAAGCCACTCAGGTGATGTTAGCGGGCATCAGCACCTCTCTGCCAGCTCAGGCACTGTGCTGGTCCCGAGGGTTAACCGTGCGGCGAGGTCCAAGTCCAGTCCGAGGTCGAGGGTGCGGTATGGAGGCTGTCCGTCAAGGCTGAAGCGGGATCCAAGGCAGGGAGTCGGGTGAGGTCAAGGACTCTGGCAGACGAGCAGGACAGGGTGCCGGCAGGAACAGGCTACCATCAATGTTGCTCCTGCAACCTGGGACTGGGCTGGCTGGCTTTTATCTCCCCCCGAGGCATAGGGCAGCCCCGGTCCACAGGTGACTCACCTCTCCTGGCCTGGAGGCGAGCACTCCTCCTGTGGGAACTTAGTTCCCTCCGCCTCTCTGCCCTGAGCCTCTGCAGCTCAGGAGCGCTGGAGGGTTACCGGACCCAGAGGCAACCTCACCTTCCCCCGATGGGTCTGAGAGTGGAGCACCTGCAGGCAATGGGTCCTCCATCACCTCAGGAGCCAGAGCAGACTCAGCTGGTGCCTGCGCCTGAGGACCCAGCACAGGTGAGGACCCTTCAGGCTCAGGCCCCAGCCCCGGCTCAGCTGGTTCTGGAGGCGGGGACTCCTGTGCAGCCTGGGATTCCTCAGGTTCAGCCTCCGAGTCTGAATCCCAGGCCATCACAGGCACGGAGGGAGAGGGAAGACCTGTTCCATCAGCTCAGGACAGGAGGGGGTTAAAACGCCGGGGATTGCCCAAGCTGCTTTGCTGGAGGAGGAGCAGGAAGTTCCCACTCCCGGGATCTGCTACGGATGATTCGGACGCTCGAAGCGATGCTCTGTACCTTGTAAATATGTACAATAAAGGCTGTAAAATATGTCTGATTGAGCAGAGGGATTTATTGCGAAGGGCTCAACAAACCCATCACAGGTACAGAGAGAACCACGTGCAGAGGTGGCAGTGCCCTCGTGCTGCGGTGAAGGAAACTGCTTTCCCTGCCTGTCAGAGAACTCTTCGGGCCAAAGGCCAAATATGGCATCCAGCAGGCTTCTTCTGCGCACACAGCACTCTGCTGATTCCGGCAATGTCCTCTGCCTCTCTCTGGACGCTTTGCAGAGCGATACACAGCGGAGAAATACTGCTGCAGTGTGGGGACCATAAATCAGGCTGGCACGTAGACTTCTCTTATCTCAAAACGCTTTTATTAGGGTAGCATAACATCGTAAATCTCCCGGCGACCGAGCCAACATCTTCCCTCTGTCTCCGAGCGGAAGAGAAGAACACACGCAGAGAAACCACTCCCATACGTGTGGACGTAACCACGCCTCATGATGCAAGGCGTCACACAGAACCGCTTAACCCTGTAGGTTCTGATTCCTCCATAAGAACTGCCATCGGCTCAGGGGCGAGAGGGGAAAAGCCGGATGAATTACAGAGAGCCCCCAAAGATCGTGGAAAGCAGCTCCTCCTCAGCGGAGGAGTGTAACCATGCCTCCAGTGGAGAGGAGCTGCAGGGCACAGAGGAGGCGTGGTGGTGCCAGGACACCTTGCCTGGGCAAAGCGGGGAGGAGAGGAGTCCTCCGTTACCCACGCCCTCCCTGCGCAGTAGGCCTCTGCGCCAAGAGGGGAAGCGCAGACTGGGCGTCAAGAAACTACTTTGCCGGGGAAGGTTTAAGGACCCCCCACTCACGGATTCTGCCAGTGAATGAGCCAGCCACGGAATACAGTGGTGCCTCACAAGACGAAATTAATTCGTTCCGCAAGTCTCTTCGTCTTGCGGTTTTTTCGTCTTGCGATGCACGGTTTCCCATAGGAATGCATTGAAAATCAATTAATGCGTTCCTAGGGAAACCGCCTTCAGACCAGGTCCGGGGACAGTCTGTCCCCGGACCTCTTCTGAAGGCTGGGGGGGGGGACACAAGGGCTTTTCTTCCCACCCCCAGCATTTTAAAAAACCCTGGGACAGCGGAGGACTTCTCCGCTGTCCGGGGCGATTTAAAAGCCCCTGGGAAGGCAGGCAGGGGGGACAAAGACTTTCGCCCCCTGCCCGCCTTCAGAAGGTGTTCCCGCCCCCCCCCGCCCCGCTTCGGAACAGCGTTCCGAAGTGGGGCGGCAGGGGCAGGTGTCCCCGCCCCCCCTCTCCGCTTCGGAACAGCGTTCCGAAGTGGGGCGGCTGGGGCAGGTCTTCCCGCCCCCCCTCTCCGCTTCGGAACAGCGTTCCGAAGTGGGGCGGCTGGGGCAGGTCTTCCCGCCCCCCCTCCCCGCTTCGGAACAGCGTTCCGAAGTGGGGCGGCTGGGGCAGGTGTCCCCGCCCCCCTCCCCGCTTCGGAACAGCGTTCCGAAGTGGGGCGGCTGGGGCAGGTGTTCCCGCCCCCCCCCTTCGGAACAGCGTTTTAAAATGCTGGGGGTCGGGAGCGAAGCGCTGCCGACCCCCAGCATTTTAAAACCTCCCCGGGACAGAGACTTCTCTGCTGTCCCTTGGAGATTTTAAAATGCTGGGGGTCGGCAGCGAACGCTTCGCTCCTGCCCCCAGCATTTTAAGATCGCCCGGGGCAGGTGGGGGGGGAAGGCAGGCGGGGGGGAGCAAAGACTTTTGCCCCCCGCCGGCCTTCAGAAGAGGTCCTCTTCTGAAGGCCGGCTGTGGGCGAAAGTCTTTGCTCCCGACCGCCAGCATTTCCCTATGGGCTTTCGTCTTGCGATGCAAGCCCATAGGGAAATTCGTCTTGCGAAGCGCCTCCAAAACAGAAAACCCTTTCGTCTTGCGGGTTTTCCGTCTTGCGAGGCATTCGTCTTGCGGGGTACCACTGTAGTGGCTTTCTGCATGGTGAAGGTTTTTTCTGGCACCAATAACAGGGCTTTACAACGGACCAGGGAGGCATTTGCCTGATTGCTCTTGAGCAACCCCCTGATATCCTTACACTGCCCGTCACCCTCCAATCTCCCATCTTTCAGGGGCAGAGGAGGAGCAAGCGTCAAGGTCGTGTCAAGACCTTTGCTATTCAAGAGGAAAGTCTGCTCCAACAGCAATCACAGGCAATGTCGGGCCATCCCTTCACTGAACTGCTTCTCCAAACAGTCCGCGCCCCTGAAAAATGAGCTGCTTAACAGTGGAAGATTGGCAGATGAAGATGATGGATTTTTCGGAGCTGGCCAACCTGACTGGAAGAGTCCGCGACCAGAAGGAGGAGGAGGAGTACCAGGAAGAATGGAAGAAATTTAAAGATTCCTTAGTTAAATATGTTAAGATAACTTAATGGGAAGAGCTTGCAAATAAATCGATAGGCTTAGGAGTGAAATATGTAAGGATCAGATTTAAGATGTTTAATGCCAAACTAGAAAGAATGAAAGAGGTTAAGTGACCCAAGTTAATTTTTTGAGAAAATCGATTTTGGAAAACTGTTAAAAATGAGATACAATGAAAGTCAACCAAGGGGGTTTGAGGAAGTCACTTAATAATGTTACCAAGATCTAAATAAGATGTTTGTTTGTTTGTTTGTTTGTTTGTGTGTGTGTGTGTTTTGAAACTGAAAATCAATAAAAAAACTGAAAAAAGAAAAATGAGCTGCTTAATTTGGAGACTTGAGTCCCCTATTATGGACTTTTCCTGAAATGTAGGATATCCCCTGAAACGGGTACCCTGCTATCTTCTGAAGCCCTTGGCCACTGGGAAGAAATTCCTCTACAAAGATGGCAGAAGGAGCATGTAGGACAAAAGGATGCAGTCCCAAACCAAACTGCCCAGGTAGATTCCTCTTTGGAGGGGAATTGTCCCCATCCTTGAGAAGTGTTTGAATGAAGCCCTCGTCTTCCTCTCCCCCCCCCATCAGCAACAGGATAAGGAGGGGAAGTTTCCTAGCTCAGCCTTCCCCAACTACAACTCCCAGCATCCCCTTCTCATTGACATTGGGGACTTGACATATTTCCCCAGGGCCTGCAAGACAGAGCTGTTCTGCCTGGCCTTTGGTTTGGGCTCGGTCTGACCCTTATCTTTCCCTCCCCTTATGAGCTATTTTAAAATGAGGCTGCATTTTAACCTGTATTTAACCTGTAACCCCTTTCCTCCCTATTATGTTTTTACTGTGATTTTATTTTATTGGTGTTAGCTGCACTGAGCCTGGCTCTGGCCGGGGAGGGTGGGGTATAAATAAAATTTATTATTATTATTATTATTATTATTATTATTATTATTATTATTATTGGATTCTGGAGTCATTGCATTACCTAGGGTCCTGCGGGACTTGACATCTTTCCACAGGGCCTGCAAGACAGAGCTGTTCCACCAGGCCTTTGGTCAGGGCGCAGCCTGACCCCCTCCTCTGGCAATCTGCACAGAATGTTGCTTAATGGTTGCCATTAATTTGATTTTAATTAATTTTATAATGAATGTTTTTAGAATGTTGGATTATTTTGATTGTTGTTAGCCGCCCTGAGCCCAGCTTCGGCTGGGGAGGGCGGGATATAAATTAAAAATTATTATTATTAATTATTATTATTATTATTATTATTATTATTATTACCTATAAGAACATCCAAATTATCGAGTAAGCCTTGCAGTCCTGTTTTGCTTTTGTGGGGAGAGATTCAGTGAGACGCTAGCCTGAGAGCCTTTCCTCCCACCGACAAATCTTCATTTGCACCTCCCCCAGCAGAACTCGGGGTCTTTTTCCGACACTTTCAGCAAAGTTTATACGTTTTCTCTCACTAATTTATTACCAATCTCTGTGAAAAACATATGGTGAAATGTACAAGCGTTATTAACAATGTAGATTCCGATTCCCTAGATGTCTGTTATACTCTCTGCCTATTCCAAAAAACAAAACATATTTTGACGTGCTCAGAGGTCCATTTCTTTAGTTCCACCTGTAAGAAATACGACCCGGCGTGTTCTGGTTCTGCTACACGATGCTGAGGACGGAAGGGGGCTTGTTCTTCACCGCCGCTTGGACAGATCCGGGCTTCTTCCGCATTTGCTCAAGGGTAGACATGGCTCCAGCGTATTTGTGCTTTCAAACAGAGAAAGAGACGGGGCTGTTATTCTTGGGGGTGGGGTGCAAAAAAAATATGTCTTGAAATAAGAGGGATGCAAGATGGAGCTGTGGGTTAAACCACAGAGCCTAGGGCTTGCTGATCAGAAGGTCGGCGGT